CCCCAAAACCCCAAAACCCCAAAACCCCAAAACCCCAAAACCCCTTGTTGTGAACTTATTATTGAAATATAATTAATTTTGTCAGAGTAAATCATGGATCTGTAAGCAAACCTCTATAATTTTGGGCAAAATAAACTGTATTGCCACTTTTGACAGGAAATTCCCACGCAAAATTCTCCTGATAAACCAGGTTTAGCTGTGGCTATAGCTCTATTTTAATATTTTGGGGAAATACGGATATAATATAACAAGTGATATCTCACTAGGTTGATAAAAGTCAGGGTTTAAGTTCAAAATTCGACGATTTTTCGAGCAAAAGAAATATGGCTATTTCTCTCAAACTTTATTTTGAACTAATTAATATCGTACTTAACAAGTGAGAGATACTTTGAAAATAACAATTATGATACTCAATAACTTATCAGGAAGAGCATACTATGAGTTATTTTCTAAAGACTCTTGCAAGTCTAGGCTCTTAGATGTTATATATTGTATTAATTACCCAAAATTTCCCCAAAAAATATCTCCTACTCATCATGTTATTGTGAGAGGAATACTTTTCCTTCAATTTTAAGTCCTCAGTGTGATACAGGAACCTCTTTGAGGGATATAAATGTTATCGACCTGAATTTGATATAACTTATTCTCAAACAATATTGCTCCACACAGATTTCAATAATTTTTCCTACCTTTGTATTATTAAAAAACCGGATTAAATTTCAAAGCATTGAGATTCATCGAATTATGTAAAATAAAGAAAATCTAGATTTCAAGAGTAATAATTTGCTAGCAGCCTTCTGCTTAATCAAGATCATTTAGCACTTTTGTGTGAGACATCATCGCTTGTTGGTCACCATAAAACAGGTTCTTCAAAATCCTATCAATCGATAGGGAGTGTCAAACTATTTAATTAAATCCTGGCCATTGCTAGGGAATGTTGGGAGACAACCTGGACAGGACTAGTACCTACTTGGGCTTTTCTGGTCAACTCAATCATTGATCTATCATCTGAAATGTATTGGCCCGAGCTAATTATATTTCCTGGGGTGTGTAAAATTTGTTGTCATAGTTTTCCTGTACCATTCGTATAAAGTCATAAGCATTAACCAAAGTACATGAAATCTCAAAAAGCATAAACCTCATTTTAATATCATAATCTCTTGATGCTAAGAGAGCAAAATCTAGTGTCCTTACTATTAAAAACATATCAGATAAAACTTTGATGATGGTTAAATGTTCTCTGCCTTTGCACTTTTTGTCTTAAATGTTATTTAAAATTTCTGAAATTTTTCAAAAAGTTATTAAGAAACAGTAAACCAAAATTATCCAAAATATTTAAAAATAACAAAATTTCCATAATAAATTCTTTTAAGAAATAATCACTTATCGAATGGAGATTTTTACTAATGATCATGAAGGAGTAAGGCTATATTCCCAATAATAATACTTATACTATAAAATAAAGAGCCTTAGTCTTTCGCCAGTTTGTTGACTCCTCTTGTGTTCAGCTTCCATTAACCAGGTCACTAAATGTGATATTAACCTGTGATATAGCAGATTAAAAAACACTCAAGCTCTTGAAGTTATCTCAAGTCCTCAGTTCAGGCATGAAGAAATGCAACAAAACTCTATGCAAGAGAGCGGATACTTGCCTAGAGATTCCTTCCAAGAAAGAGGGGAGCAAAGAGATAAAATCATTACCTCTCCCACTAAAATTATTTTCAAAAAGAGAAACTTCAGGGAGTTATCAGTCACGGATATCATGCCTAGCTTGAAAGCGAGGCTGACTGACAAGCAAGTGGCATCAGTGATACCGAAGAACTCCACAGGACTTATTGCTTTCTCAAAACAGTTCTCTCATTTCGTAACCAACGAGACCTTCTTATCCTACTTGGAAGTCTCTGATTATCTCGAGATAAGGAAAGGATGCAAATATCTCTGGGACTGATATGATTACCATATCTTGGAAGAGCTTGTGAAAATGGGAAACCTGGATATCGATCTCAGGGCTAACCTGTGGCTCTCAGTCACTCCTTACCATAGGAATCAGAGGAAATGCAGAGAGATTGTTAAAGCTATTGAGGAAGAAAATTCATCAAGATTGCGACAGATAACGAATCCTGAAATCATACATTTATACGCCATCCAGGAAAATCTTGATTGTTGCTCTGTGTTTGATAATGTTTACACGAAGCTTCTTGAGAAATCCAAATCTTTCGATTATTTGGTTCGAAAAATAACCCACGCTGTCGAAAAGTTCAAAGATATCAAGCTAAATAACAGTATTTATGAAGAGGAAGACTTTGAAGTTCTGATAAACCTCACCTTGTGAAATAACATCTTGCTGCCTGAACACTCCAGTGACAAATTAGAATACCTTGATGCTTTGTACCAAGGTAGTAGGGATGAAGAGATAGCCTTCTGGATCTCTTTATGAATCGCTGACAGCCAAGCTTACCAAAGAAAATCCCAGATCAAAAAGATGGTAGACATGAAAACTTTGGAAATACTTGCTGAAAAATACTGCCCTCATCTGTATAAATTAATGCTAGACTCAAAACAGTGGAAAACGATCTGAACCAACTTCATTGAAAATTTTGGGTGCAAATATTTTGATCACCCTCAAAGCCTCTCCATCATTGATAGTTTTCTGGTTTCAGGCATGAAAGGGTTCTACGAAAGAGTCTTGGTCATTTTTAAAGGTAAGCCAACTCTTCCATACTTATAATAATGTTCAGTATATTTATGTTCTATTTAGACATCGAAGACTTCATCCAACAGTGTATCAATGAAGAAAGTAAAGAAATAGGCACCTGTAAGTCCTTCATGTCTTCTAAAAATGCAAAGAAGGAAGCTTTTACAACCAACTTTGAAAGCGAAAGTTGAAGAATAACACCAGAAACGGATTTCATAACACCAAGAAGTAGGTGAACCTTATCAAATTCAAATACTTATGAATTTTATAGAGAGTGCAAGACAATCAGTGAGAAACTACCTCAACTGCTATTCATACTCAGAGCTCTCATTTGAAACATTTGCTAACTGTATTGGGCCGTTCAGCTCTTCATTCATCATTAAGCTGACTGAAAATGATATTAAAGAAGTTCAAAAACAGGCTCTAAAAACGATAATCGAAGGAGCTTCGTTTACGATAAACGATAAAATTATGGAAAAAGAAGAATTCTCAGCCTTAAAAATGAAGCTTAAAATACTAAATGAAAAGAAAGAGAAGGACTTGGAAGCTATTCTTCTGAAAAAGCAGAACCTGAACACTTACTATAACATTCAACAGGAAGAATTCCAACAGATAGAAGGTAAGCCTTAAAACATAATTTAATAAAAACGATCTTTAACATTGCTTTTAGAATCTTATCTTGAATTCCAAGATGCATTGGATCACTTGAATCAAAAGATCACGATTCTTAAAGACACCCAGACAATGATCAAAAAGGAGATCTGGAGGAAGAAACAACTCCTAAAGATAGCTTGTAATAACAAAACATTCTACACTTCATTCAAGAAGAGCAGGATCTCAAGGTCAAAATCTCCTTCAACTCTTCCATCACAGAGAAATTCATCTATGAATGGGCCTTCTTCTAGGATGGAAGAGAGATCTGATAGTCCAAATAATTCTTTCAGAAAGTCTACAATCGGTGTCTCCTTCCCACCTGGTCTCTTCAAGAGTACTCTTCAAGAAGAAGCCTTGGAACTCCAGAGCCTCAAGAGAGACGTGCAAAACATAGAAGACAAGATTTCCTGTGAAACCGAATGCATTAATTTCTATAAGAGCCAATTCGAACATGTGAAACAAGACTACCAAGAGAAAAAATCTTCTATTGATGACTTAATGGAGTTCAAGAGCTGAATAATTGCCCAAGAGAGGTTTATCTTAGAAAATTATGCAGCTGACAAGGAAAAGCTACTAGAAGGGTGTATAACCCTTATAAACTAGTCTTTTCCTTACATTCTTAATATACCTAATTCTTAATAAAAACACTCTAAATACCTTTATTGTCACCCTCTTTACCTCACCAATAATTTCAACCTAACTATTCCTTGCTGGGGTTTTGGGGTTTTGGGGTTTTGGGGTTTTGGGG